TAGAAATGGTCGACTCTAAGAATACAGTCTCCGACGGTAAGGTCTCAACAAGCACGGGGCTAACACGAAAATTACTCACAAAAAGGTCGTGTGTGACCGACGTCAAGCAGTTGTCCTTCGAGCACTACTGTTACACTTTTAGGTCACTAGGACTACCCCTAACCCAATTTCCTCCTCAGGTACCTCCAAAAGAACCCTTCTACGGTGTGGGCAACCGCCCTTATACCTATAACAGCACTCAAGATCACTATGTTCACAATCGGTTTCCCTCTTCAATTCCTATTATTCCCCCTACCTCGACTTTCAACTCTGAACTTCCTCCTCAAGTGCCACCATGGCCAACGAGTCTAGTGCGCGAAATACTGCGCCAGGTCTACTGAAACCTCACTCCAAACTACACATTGGAGTCTTCAACGTACGCATCCTATGTTAAATCGGCTTGCAGGTCTCCTTGGCTAAGACCTTAGAATCTCGTACGATTGATGTATGCTGTGTCTCCGGAACACGCATACAAGATCCTAGTGTGGTCATTCAATTGACCTCACCTCGCCAAAATGGGGACTCGACGAGATACACCCTTCGTCCATTGGACTATCAGCATACGGACCAATCATAGAATATAATACATAACATTGGTCAACTATCTCCGTATATCGCTATCATTTATTTTTCAGGTGCATCGTGGCATTGTGTATGTTGATGAGTGCAATCTTCATCTGCGTCACGTGAAGATAACTTGGCCACCTGGTTTTAAACCAAAAGCTCATTTACCTCGAAGTTCCCTATCAGCTGACTCTGTTGCAAATCAAATCCCTCGTCCTGCAACAATCCATCATGCATCATCAAATATTCCTACTCGTACTGCTTTAAGCGAACTTGCAAAAATGCATGCCAGATTACATTCTACAAACAGAGTATCAAATCATCGCAATTTCCTACCAGATATGGCTGGTCGACGTGTTTCAATCGAATTTGTTCCTTCTTTTAAATCAAGTACATCAGACAGTCGACAAATCGATGATTCAAGCAATCAAGATGAATGTAATGCTCTTGAAGGAACTGATGACGTTCAACTCTCCTGTCCTCCAATAGATAAGCATCAAAGACTAGTCGATGTAGATAGTAGAAATGGTCTCATACCACGTGAATTACATTCGAAATTTGATGTAGAGAATCCTATGAGTTGGTCGCTGGATGATGAAGCTGCTTGCTTCAATACAGAAGCTTTTGCATCTACATACAATGAGAATCATGAAGGTGACCCATGTGAATTAGTTAATGATGATTGGACACCGGAAGAAGACAGGCAGTTATTGGAATTTTGTAAAGCTAAAGGACGTTACAGCTCTCAGATGTTTACAGACTTAGCTAAAATATGGGAACCCAAACCATATGTTTACTCTGCACAACGAAATCCACTGGAATTAGAAGAACGTTTTAAACATCTCATGCGTATCACATTGAGAGAAGCTTATGATCCAGAGTTATTTCAAACGCCGTATAGAGACGAATCTTCATGTGAAGATGACTAATCATAATTTGACCTTATTTATTTGTTCTCCCATATTCACAGAATAAGTTAACGCGCATGAATCAAGTCTTTCATTTGTATAAATTTGTACAATATTACATAGATTTCTTATTAATTATCAACATATATTTATCTTCTCACAGGTCATTCTTCAAACTTTATAAAATATATGTTAGCGTTGCAAATTTTTGAAGTCACATATTTTGTATATGCTTTCAAAGTTCTTTATGAGATAACCCTTAAAAATTGTTCTAACTTGTGTATAGTGCATAGATCCGGTGATAAGTAACAGATTCGTTTAACTTAATGGAATCGGTTAGATTATGTTAATGGGGATGGATATCCCGTTGACTTTACAGCAAGGGAAACCAATAAATAAGAACTTTCGTCTAAATTTGATCGAACAGTTTCACAGTATTTGGGAGCCGAGTTAATGTGAGACATTAAGGAGGAAGAATGTATTCGTAAAATCTCAGCGAATCAATTCGCCTGGCAATCTGGTCCAAGCCTTTTCAAGGAAACAAACAAATTTATCGAATATAAATAGGTACATGGTTCTCCGGTTCACTGTATACTGAATAGGTCATCCAATCAACGTTAACAATGTTTAAAGTAGGTATTTACATTAGTGTGAAGCGGGGTTGAGCTGTACTGTCTGGGTTGTCACGTGGAAGTCCGGATGGTGTCTGGTTCTGTAAAATTACCCTGGCCCACAAGGGTATATTATATGGCTGAATAGCCCCCAAATGCCCTAGTACGGCCGAGAGTTGGGAGAGCGCTCTCCCTCTCGAAACGCTTTCACATGGCCACGCGTATATAGCCTATGCCAGAGACGTTCTACTCACTATCTTCTCGTGGCGGGGATGTTTACGAAGTTGAGAGGACGAAAAGTGGATATCCGGAGCTTTAACCGGGTTAGTGGACATGAAGTCTCCACCTAGGGGAGTTGGAAAACCTTGATTCCAAACCAATGGTGCACATGAGCTCCAGTACTCTGAGGGAACAAATGGCGTATGAACCGATTGTTGGTCACTGGATATCATGGGATTGCATCTCTAGATATTGCTCCACTGCCTCGTGGACCAGACCTTCAGGTCGAAGGCTCCGGGTATGGCCCCCCAAGAAAACCACCTGCTTCGGTTTAGGCACCCGGGCAGTATCACAGCCCTCACACATATCAGATGAGATCTGTGTGGCGCATATGTATTTGGTGCCTCCTTGTACCGATATCTGTTAAAATAAAAATTTACATCATTGTGTAAGAGACATGTGGTGTGACCCGATTCTATCGAGTGTAATGCTATCGCTGATCTGTCCTTTAGTTTTCTTACATCAAGTGAGGATTTAGGAATGTGCTTTGAGCATAGTTTGTGCTCCTCCACCCTTATATTCAGTTTTCTTGACGTTTCACCGACATTGCATTGCAGTTACTACATTTGATTTCATAAACACAATCCTATTGTTCCTCCTTGTGTATTGGATCTTTGATTCTTACTAGTTTTGATCTTCGAGTATTGTTTGTTCGAAAGAATACTCTGATATTTTAAAGAGTTAGGGTCCTTCTGAAATGCCTTTACGAAATGTATCACCACTGCGTTGATCCATCCTAGTTTTCGTAATATTCACCGACCAAAGACAGTATACAGTGGATGAAATTTCTCACTTACGTATACACACAATATGTTATCTTAACACTTTTCGTTTCACACCACATGTCTCCTACACACTAATGTAAATACCTACTTTAAACATTGTTAACGTTGATTGGATGACCTATTCAGTATACAGTGAACCGGAGAACCATGTACCTATTTATATTCGATAATTTTGATTGTTTCCTTGAAAAGGCTTGGACCAGATTGCCAGGCGAAACGTTGGATTTGCTTCGAATTCATTCGCTGAGACTTTACGAATACATTCTTCCTCTTCAAGGTAAATCAGTACCTAATCATCTACCGTAAATCAGTGTTTTTGCGAATCGGTATCCTGGTTGATAACACTTCGGGTGTTTAATTCGATGGTAATGAATTTCACGTAAAATTCTGCTAACGATTTCTAAATAGTTTGCTATGCAACATCAGTTACAAAGGTATTATTATTCTGTCATCTAACTTCATCGTTCGGGTTAAACAACAAGCGAACATCAACCATGGATCAGGAACGATTATGATACCGTTTCAATAAGCAAATGGATTCAAACTGACAGCTAATTTAGGTGGCATGTCTTCGGAATCTTTATGTTCTCAAGACTAGTCACAAATCCTCTCGACATTACAGAAAACTTAATAATACTAGATTACTTCTACACAAATACATACACGAGTAAAGGTTTCTAACGAAGTACATTTCTACTTATTCCAGTATGACAGGATCATCAATATTGCATATTGTAGTCCGGAATCCAACATTTTTAGTAAGACAAGTGATTGTGGTTCTGCAACAACACCAAAAAACTTTATCATTCAATTATCTCTCTCATTTTTAACAATGATGATACCCGAGAATTACCGCTCCTCTACACAACCAAAAACTTGATCCATATCCGAACATCAACCCTCTTCCCCTTCATATTAATTTTCTGTTGCTGAGATTATCTCCACTAATTAATCGTGGGATCAATAGTAACATTACAAACCTACCGAACAGCACTCCTAGTCTCAGATAAGCAAATGTATATCGTTACCTGTAACGCTTGATTATATCTCAAACAAAATAATTTTGGGAGTAAAATTCCATGCAATCAATGTTTTCTGCCCTAGAAATTCGGCAGTCCTGTTTATCTCATTCATAAACAAACATCTTAGGAGCACCTCGTTGATGGCTATCTGACTCCCTCTCATCCTTATTTGTATGCATACTGGTTACTCGAGATGTGGATCGGCGGTTCAACTATACGACTACGACTAAGTCTCGTGTTGATTATTCTAATATTCGTGACAAATTCATACCTCGATTACTGGCCAATAACCGCAAGTAGAACCAAACTATTCTTGTCTAGATAACTGTTACGATAATATATTTTTCCCTTAATACTGAGAACACATCTCATTTCCGTGCGTGATGATGTTAACTGAATCTGTTTGTCAAAAGCTTTAAATATTTCGATTCTCCACACTTTACAGACGCCCATCTGAAGCCGTGTTTCCTGACTATGATTTCCATTCTATAGAGTGCTGGAGTAATAACCTATGGCCCTGTGGATCCATTACTTTGCTTCTCCTACTTATAATAGACTGTGTAGATTTATAAGGATGACCAGTGGAATTCAGTGAACACGTCTGAGTGCTTAGTGACACCCGAAAGAGTATGGTCTTGCATAGTCTAACTACATTCACTCGGAAAGTAATGTTTTTGTAGTTAAAATTATCTGTTTTATATAACACTGTGAAAGAAAATAAGTGAGTTTGTCAATATTCACAAAATAGTAAACAGTACATTTAGATTCATAATCAGTGACTTTCTTATTTACCACGAAATCCTCCACCACGACCAGGACCACCAGGTACACTCCCGCCACGCCCTGGACCACGACCTCGAGTATTAGGAGCATTACCACCCCGACCTAAAATGAAGTAAGAATTAACACAGAAAATTCGTAACAAAGGTTTGAAAGTCTCAAGGAACTAAATATCCTAATTAGGATAGAGGGTCAAATATATTTTTAAACATATTACTCCTGGATTACATTTATACGGGTACAAAATTTTTGAGCTGTAAATTAAGTTTCTACAGAGTGCTTTAAGTAATTTATGCAATGAATATCAACTTCTAAATATCTGAAGTATGAAAAAGTAATTATCTATCACTCTGAACTGAACAGGTTTAATTCAGTCCATTACAATGAACCAATTATTTTTTGTCGAGTCTGCAGAAGCATGACTATCTACGTATCTGTTGCTCAAAAAAGTAATATTAGAAACTTCTTATTCAATTGGGGGATTGGTTTAATGGTTGTGAAGTTTAGTGACTGCGGAAAAACTATCAAGACACAAACTACCTGTCGACTGTGTTTGCAGTCTTATCACCACTGGTTCATACTCTAGTGAATTGGCTACTGCCAAGTACAGATCGATACTACGTAGTTGCTTAAATCGAAGTATATGGGTGGGGGTTAAAAGTGACCTAGTTTTTAAAAATTAAAAACCCTAGCCACCGGTCTAATCATGCTGCACAATGTATAAAACTTAAAGTGCCTTCTGTTTGTTTTGATTTACCGAAAGTTTATTTGATTGCTAGACAGTAATACTGACGGCTTCAGGGAACTTTTAGGCATTGTTTATCCTGTTTAAAGTCTGAATGTCTCCACTGCTTCCATCTATAGAATTTCTAGTTAAAACCGAGACTTCATATTAACCAGTTGTAGGAAAATGCACAATAGTTTATTTACTTTTCAATACTGATTACCGAATAATAAAATACTATGTCTGCGTTTTACAATTAAAGCGCATTTACAGTGCTTTATCAAATCGACCTTTAGGCAGTTTTGGAAGCCCGACTATCGATTCTTCTAGAGCACATGCATGGACTGCGATCATGTCGTATTGAGAGCAGACACACGTTATCAACATTGGGGCTGTCACAGATATGGTTTGGCCAAAGTTGTCGCACCACGGAACGAAAAGATGAAAATAACCCGAGATTAAAATAATATAGTAGCAATGATAGAAAGATCAAAACTTGGGAATATTGTTTGAAAAGATAGAGTGGAAAGGTTTATGTAAAGTAATGATAATATTCAAGCCCAAGAGAAGAGTGAATGCTGTCACTTAGTCTCCAGACCCTGGTTACGGTAATAACACGGACACTAAGTAGTATACATGATTTAACGAAGCCCAGATCAACAATCAATAACTTCTGAGATTGGTCTGATTACCTCTAGCTGACTTCAAACCTACATGTGCACTTGAAATCACAGCTCATCGAAGTAGATGGGGGTTAGGCATATCTAGCATATGTTCCAACTACCTCACTTGATAAAGTTTGTAGAAAAAGCGAATTATTAAAGTGGAGACATTTTTGAAAATAATACAGTGCAGTGAGACCATAATTTATGGACAACCTTTGAGAATGTCCACCTACATACTATGGCTACATGAGGGTTATAAACCAGTGTGAGGAATCAGGGTTAATATTTACAGCTGATAGTTAGACTTAGTGTTTTCATCACGAACTGACATCAGCTATAATGCCAAAACTCTATTTAGTTGAGTGAATGAATAAATTACGCGCCGAAATTCAAGACCCGTTATCGTAAATCTGATTGATTCGTCCGTAAATTATAGTCTCGCCGATAGTGCTAATATGTTTTGCTATCGTATGTAGCCTCCCAGTAGCACCATATCAAAACAATCTTAACAGTGAACCCTTCAATATCTAATTTAATACCCTTCGGATAAATGTGTACATTACCAGTCATTCACGTTTTAAAATACAATATTAGTGGTATCTAATTAATTCAAGCAAATAAACGACAAGAAGCAGTTTAGGGAAAAAGACCAAGCAAGCTGAAGAAAACACAAATATCAGCTATAGGATGTTGGTTAACGAGACCACAATTATGAATGTAAATACATGGACATAAGAATACTCTGGAGGAAGATATTGTTTAACGAGAATACCAAAACTGAATTATATTACCTCTAGCCTTATTTCTATGAAAACTCCCACGCCCAGTGTCTGCAGACTGAGAGCGATTACGCATTTTGGCTAGCTGCAAGTCCTCTTTAACCTTATCGATTACGTCGTCTGGAATCCGTAAATATTTTATTATGCTTCCACGAATATAACACTCTGGCATTTTCCAGAAGCGATCCCCATCCTATTAAATATAAACTCAGCATATATATAGGATTTACTCGAGATGTACAAATAACTTCTTTAAGATGAATGTTCATCCAGTCATCGCAAGCAACAAGGTGACCGTTATAAGTTTCACCACTTTTCAACTCAACAAGCTGAAAATAATTTAACGACTGCAAATGAAATTACCATAGGAAGATTCGTTGCAGCCTTGAGGAGTGTCACGGGTAACTAAGAAAATTAACGAAATAGAAAAACACAAACCATTGCGAAATACAATTAAGCGCCCAATAATTAAGCTAGCGCAAGGTCATCTCATCTTCAATGACCATTATCCAACATCGATATTATGGGTAAGCACAAGCTTTGCATCTCTATATAAGCATAGATTTGTTGCAAAGAAAAGTCGATATTTTTCGAAAGTGTACTGACAGAGGAAAAAGAAAAACATTTCTTCAATAAATCGAGAACCATAATGTAAATCCGAAGTTTTTATGGAGCCGCGACCGGTAAGTAGCACGTATTCTTAGCGTTTACCTGGAGGCAGGAGCAATCTGAAACACAACACAACAGTCAGGACTGGCAGATGCCACTCAAGTAAGAACACGGCGTGCGAGCACAACAGAGATATATTAGAAATTGAAATACTCGGTTTTTGTACAAAAAGAGAAGTCTGTTACAAAATAGTTTTACTCATCATCCAGCAGGTTTAGTTTGCGCAAGCTTTGTTCTTCTTCTTCTAATACGTTCACTTTCTGTTGTCCTGCAATAAGGAAAACAAACCTGCATTAATAAAGTTACACGTAATGACTTTCGATACTGTTACACTATCCCCTCTCTTCATGAGGCACTGTCCTCAGTGCCTGGTGCTGGACATGGGTATGCTACCCCTCCTTCTGGTGGCACTTCATAATGGCTGACGGCAGTCGGGGGGTTGACAAACGGGGTATTTAAGTGCACCGTTGTCTTGTCTGGCTTTAATTGATTGTAGTGTACTGTTATAACACCGTCTTGGGGTCGTTGGAGGCTACGTAAGACGAATGTAGTGGGAGACCGCATAAACACAACTTCGTAAGGTCCTTGCCAAGGGTGATGAAACTTGCTGCATGTCCCCGGTGGAGCCAAAGGGTGGTGCAGCCACACACGATCTCCGGGTTTACACACAGGTCCGTTCGTCTTGCGATCGTACACGTCCTTTTGGTGCTTGCTGGCATTTTGTAGGTTGATCTTCACTAGGCGATAGGCGTCGGCTAGGCGGCTGCAAAGATTACGGATGTATACTACATGACCTTGGATCTCGCATGGTAACAGCGGTATTTGCAGCTCAACGGGTAGGCGCAATTCATGCCCAAAAAGTAGGGTCGCCGGTGAAATTCCTGTAGATCCGTGCACTGATGAGCGGTAAGCTAACAGACATTGTGGTATCACGTCATCCCAACATTCCGTCGACGACTTATTGATAAACGATTGAAGGAGAGCTTTGATAGTCCTGTTGGTTCTTTCCATTAAGCCGTTACCTTCTGGATGATATGCGGTAGTGTGTGTTTTCCGGATTCCCAATAATCGACATACCTGGGCGACGAGATGACTTTCAAAAGCTGAACCTTGGTCAGAATGGAGTGGGAGGGGAGCGCCGTACCGGGATACCCAATGATCAATGAAAGCCCGAGTGACTGTGAGGGCATCTTGTTGTGGTATAGGCACAGCTTCACACCATTTGCTGAAATAGTCTACCATAACCAGTAAATAACGGTTTCCGTTCTTTGACGTTGTGAGTGGCCCCATAATATCGGTGCCAACTCGCTGATGCGGACCTTCTGTCGTCATTGGAACTAAGGGTGCGCGGGGTATTTGTCGGGGTGACTTGATAGCATAGCACGTGCTACAATTTTTGCAGAATTCTGCAACGTCTTCGTGGATGGATGGCCACCAAAACCTTCCGAAGATAGCATGTTCAGTCTTCCGTGTTCCTGAGTGCCCCAGTTCTCGGTGTACCTGCTCCATAATATTCTGAACTTGTATACGTGGTACTATCAATAGTGGTTGTTTTGATTCACTGACTATAAATAGCGTGTCTTCATACAATCTTAGACTGCCCCACTTGGCACAAAGACGGCGCGTCGCCAAGGAATGATCCTTTAACTCTGTCATAGATGGTTTATTATTGCCATGTAGTTGCCTCTGATAAATAAATCGCAGATCTGGGTCTTCTGCTTGAAGAGACGGCCAGTCGATCTCGGGGGCTGTGCTAAGGACGGCACTAATGGTATCAGGAGAATAAGGTATACGAGATAGAGAACCAGCGTTTGTGTGTCGGCTTCCGGGTCGGTATTCACAGGTAAAATCAAACTCCTGCAACCTCTCCTGCCAGCGCGCTACCTGACCTTCTGGTTCACGGAACGAACGAAGCCACTGTAGTGCACGGTGGTCTGTGCGTACACGAAAGGGTCGTCCTAAGAGATAGTGACGAAAATGTTGCGAAAATTTTACCAAAGCCAGCATCTCTCGGCGCGTCGTAGAATACCTTGTCTCCCTCTTATCTAACCGCCGACTAGCGTAAGCAATGACCCGCTCCTGTCCATCTAGTGCTATTTGAGACAGGACTGCTCCAATAGCTGATGAACTAGCATCTGTATCGAGTATAAACTCACCCGCTTTAGCAGAAGTGTCCGGAAAAGCTAGTATGGGTGGAGCAGCAAGACACGACTTCAAAGTGCTAAATGCTTGTTGACATTCTGTGGTCCACAAAAATGTTCGTCCTTTGTGCGTCAGGCGATGCAGAGGTGCTGCCAGGGATGCGAAATCCCGTGCGAAACGTCTATAATATAAAGCGAGTCCCAGGAAGCTGCGAACATCCTCGGCAGATTTCGGTTGTGGCCAGTTAATAATGGCGCTCGTTTTTCCCTGACCTGTTGCTACTCCATCTTCTGTAATGCGATGCCCTAGAAAGAGCACTTCTTTTTGCAATAGTCGACATTTAGATGGTTTAACTTTTAGGTTATGCTGCTTAATTCGTTGTAGGACTGCCTTCAAATTGGCATTATGCTGTTCCGGCGTTCTGCCATACACAATAATATCGTCAAGGTAAATTAAACACTGGTGTGGTACGAGACCATGTAGAACTGTCTGCATTAATCGTTATTAAAGTGGCTGGGGCATTAGTTAACCCAAACGGCATCACTTGAAACTCATATAGACCATTGGGTACTGTGAATGCAGTCTTTTTTCTACCTTCAGGTCGGACTTCCACTTGCCAATACCCTGATGCTAAGTCTAAAGTCGAGAACCAACGAGCGCCTTTCATGGCATCTAATGTAGCGTCTATACGTGGAAGTGGGAAAGAATCACGTTTAGTTATAGCGTTAAGGCGGCGGTAGTCTACGCATAGTCGTAGGGAAGAGTCTTTCTTTTTCACTAAAACCATAGGCGATGCCCATGGTGATGAAGATGGTACAATGATCTTTTTATCCAGCATATCTTTTATCATAGATTCTAATTGAGGCTGGTAATGTACTGGTACTCGGCGAGGTGGTTGACGTAATGGCATGTGATCACCTGTGAGGATGGAGTGCTGTACAGTGGTCGTCCGATTTCCAGAGACATTCTCAGAGAAAACGGAACTAAATTGTTGGAGTACATCAGTGGTTGCTCGACGGTCTTTTTCAATTATTATTTTATTATCTTGTACCTGACGTACAATTTCTGAAATTCCCACCTGGGCTACGGACTTAGTTGGTATTTCATGGTGTTGTATTTGCACGACAACTCCACCAATACTCGCTTCTGACTTATTCATGTGTATAGAGACCTGGTATTTTAACATGAAGTCGACCCTGAGAATCATGTCCCAAGTCAGTGTGGGGCAAACCCAGAATTCATGTTGAAAAGGCTTCTTGTCAATCGTCAGCTCTAACCCTATCTTAGAACACGCTTTCAAGGGTTCTCCGCTCGCGGTAATTAAGGTAGAAGAGCACTGTTTACGCTGAGTGCTGTGGTTAAGTTTCTGCAAGAGGTCTTCCTTGATCAAGGATACTGAAGCTCCTGTATCTAATAGTATATTAATCTCAGTACTTTGCACTCTACCCTTAATAGTAACAGGGCACAAATGTTTAACATAGCAAGACGATATATGCAAACGACACTGCTTACCTCTGTTTTTCACGCGGTTATGACCGCATTTCATGGCATTTTTGCCGAAACGTTTGCAGTAGAAGCATTCTGTTTGCTGGCCTCGATAGTTGTCTCTTGACGACCGTCCGTTCCATGTGGAAGTCGGCTGCCCTCGTCTACTATTCCGGTCAGTGAACTCTCTAATAGCCGCGGCACTTTGAAAGCTATCTTGTAGATTAGGTTCGGTGGCTTCATCGATAGTCATCACGGTTGGTCGATAGGTCGCCAATGGAACTGACAGTCTTTCAGCAGTCAAAAATCGAAGTGCCGTTCGTTTCAAGTCGGCTGTGTCAGCCGGTGGCACTCGAAGTAGATGTTCTCGCAGTGCACCTGGCAGCAGTCCTTCAATAAAACGGGAGCGTGTAATTTCTTCTCGCCCCAAGATGTCCAGGCTAGGGAATGCCTGGGTTGCTATCTGCTGTAATGAGTGAAGGTAGTCGATGGGGCTTTCATGAGGTTTCTGGTGGCGAGACAAAAATTGGATGGCTGACTGCTGGGTATTCACCTTCAACGAAAAACATTCATCTAAAATCTTCCAATTTCGAGATGGTGAATTGCACGCAGTAAAGCCGTTAGCTGTCGCTCGTTTCGCTGCTTCGTCATCTAAGTAGGACAAAAGGTAGTCGAAGTGTTCCGAAGTTGGAACTCGACGTAGGCACGTCATTACTCTAATTTTTCAGATGTCATAGTCTGATGAGACGCCTAACAGTGGCGGTTGGCGAGGGGTTGTGTTGACTGTTAACTTGCCAGGGATGGCTGGGGGTTCATCATGTTTTGACATAAACACCTCCATCACCACTTGTAGCACGTATTCTTAGCGTTTACCTGGAGGCAGGAGCAATCTGAAACACAACACAACAGTCAGGACTGGCAGATGCCACTCAAGTAAGAACACGGCGTGCGAGCACAACAGAGATATATTAGAAATTGAAATACTCGGTTTTTGTACAAAAAGAGAAGTCTGTTACAAAATAGTTTTACTCATCATCCAGCAGGTTTAGTTTGCGCAAGCTTTGTTCTTCTTCTTCTAATACGTTCACTTTCTGTTGTCCTGCAATAAGGAAAACAAACCTGCATTAATAAAGTTATACGTAATGACTTTCGATACTGTTTCACATTGCGAAATACAATTAAGCGCCCAATAAT